TACACACACAGACGGGGTCGTCTCAGTATGCGTTTTTGCAATTTGCATATAGGCAAAAACGCATAATAAGGCTGGCACGTGCCGGTACTCTTATACGATTACGGTATCTCCCATTTCACTGTTACCATAACCGAATGTATGCGCAGACGTACGCATACAAAGCGGCTACGGTGCTTTATGTATAGAGTTGCCAGTTGGGCAAGAATTTGAATCTGTGGTTGTATTTCTGGAGAAAAGTCAAGAACTTGGTTTGAGATTTAGTCTCGTGTACAGCCGAAAGCATTTTCGATAAAATCGAACATTGGATAGCCAGAATGAGTAGTCTTGGTATTTTTGCTATATATTGAATGAGTACAACCACGATGTTTCGGCGTTCTAGTTCGTACGCTTCTTTTTTCCGTAAGATTGACAGAAAAGGCAAAAAATTAGCTGACCGGATGGTTGTGGAAGGCACCGCTAGTATTACGTCCACAAGTTCTGCATCCGTATCGAATGGTACCATGTCGTATTGTGAATAACGAGCACAGATTTTGCGAGATGATCGAAGCAGATTTGCTTTACCGGCTAACGATGATGTACCTTTATAACCAATCATGAGCAACATCGATGTGATCACCACCCTCAACAATATAATTACTCGTAGCTGTACAAATCAGACGAAGCACTCGAACTCGGAACTCAGTCCTTCGCTCACTGATTAACAATGACGACACGGAACCAAGTCTCATGTTAATATAGGTATCTGTGTTAATGATATTGCTGGGATGCTCGGTGCAGCCATGCTAGGCCCTTTGATTTTGGGCTGCATACTGCGAACTGTCTCCTCCCTCACACTTGTCGACATGTGTGCGCCACCTTTTCGTTGTACCCAAGTGGTCGTTTTCTTTCTCGTGGGTACCAGGCACTAATAAGTAACCACAACAAGTTGCCGCCAAGCCGAGCAGGTACCCATCAAATCTTTGAGAAGATCCTTGAGCTACAGGCCACTAATTTGCAATGAGTTTCATAAGCAGAACAATAAAAACTCGAAATCAACAAAAAATTTTGATATTGCAAAGTATGAATCATCAAAACCTGTTTTCGGAATCATGGCGATACCGAACACCATCCTTCCATGCTGTATACGGATCTGTACCAATGAAGTAATCGAACTGAGTCATATCCAGACCTAAAATAATCACCAATTGTCACTGCTGAACAAAACAACACAATTTGAGTGAACAGTCAAGAACTCAATGACCAACTTTAATTTTTATGCGTTTTTTGCAGCTACGCAATGAGAACCCAGATTGGAACGCACCAGGCTCTCCAGTGCGATCATGCATTTTTGCACTAAACTCGCAGATCGCTATTAGCA